AATTGGCATTGAGGATGTAACATCCAGTCTCCAGTATGATGAAGTTCGCAGCCTACTCAAATGTAAGGACATATGTTGGCTGGTCCAGCTCCAACGAAAACCAGTTTCCCAGCTGCAAAATATATGGAAAAAATTCAGTCCAGACCAGCAACATGTAGAAAAAAAACATCAGACCAGTGGCAGAAGGATAGTCACACCTTCTACAGAGGCAGAATGCCACCACCATACTCTCAACTGAGTGGAACTGTGCACACTCAGAAGGATTCCTCCATGATCCATGAGGAAAAACCTGAAAGCAGTCATGTGGAACACCACATCTCAACAGTGATTGTGATAGACCTTATAGATCACATGGTGCAGATTTTGGATATCAGTATACCTGGATAGGCACCACTCACCACAGAGTGGAATCCATAACATGTAAAGTACCCACTCAGACTTGTACCAATGTGTGGAAAATGGCTACAGGGGGAAGACAATATACAGCTGAGCAGAAAACTGACAGATAATGCAAGTAGCATGACACCAAGGTGTGGGGAATGGTTCACATGCCAGCCTGGATAATATCTTCCAAAGAACGTTGGAAATGAGCAGCCAATAGCATTAGGAGATGACAGATCAGATGGGATGATACACAGAACAATTGGCCAAAATCAAGAGAAAGGGAGGAACATGTAATACAGATAACCTTAAAACCCAACCAGTAAGGGTGATAGGAGAAATATCACAAGAAATGGACAAATTCCAATAGATAAATAAATAGGAGCAAGAGCCACGGAAGAGTGCTGTGCATGACACATAACACCATAAAGTATGGACTTGATAGAGGAAACTATCTGGATCAGAGTGGGAGTAAATGTGGGATATGGTAGGAATGGAAGTAGCTGTAGAGAAAAACACGACAAAAAAGGGAAAATGAAGGGAGATGAAAGGACCAACCTATAGCCCACAATGGCTGAAAAGGGCAGACCCTTGTCAAACAACCATGTAAAAACAGATATATGAAGAAGGGGGAGAATCCATGCCAGATAGACTAATGACAGAATATTCTCCACTTATGTTGATACACGGACATGGATGAGGAATGGGCAGTGTGAGACAACAGGGATGCTACACATGTGGATAGTCCCAAACCCCTTCCAAAGTGCTGGACAAAAGTTATGAGTGATCCTGGAGTGTGGGAATGGAGGGATGAAGCACTTCTGAGTGAGGTTGCTGGAGAAGGGACCAGGAGAGAGGGAGAGGTAAAGGAGGTTGTTACTGGAGAAGGAGCAGGGATGGAAATTACATTTGAGCCAGCCAGAAAGGAGCCATCAGAATGACCAGACACAGAATGAATTAGATGAGAGAAATCAATCATGGTAGAGAATGAATGCTAGGGTATGCATAAATGAAAGGTCCTTCCAATCCTGGCTGAATGAATCCATGGTCAAAGCCAAAAGATATGGAAATGGAGACTAAAAGAGAGGAAGCTTAGAATTCAAATTACAGACAAATGCACCCAGTTAAGAAGTATCCAACTGAGAACATAGCCATCAGAATACTGTGGGTCGAGAGACTACTCTGTAGCTAGAATCTTGTTGGGACAAAAAAGATGATCCACAAAAAGACAGAGGGCACCTGGTATGTGACAAGCCAGCATACAAATTTGATGGCTGTGAGCCCAGAAGAGGAGATCTAGAGTGCAGGAACATAAGGAGTGGAATTGAGTGTCCCTTGACTGGGAAGTTGATGGAAAGAATCAGAACTGTAGAGATGACAAAAATGAACCATTGCCTGAGGAACAGTAAAGAGAACCAAAATTTTCATATAAAGACCTAACTTCTTCTGAGACAAATGGCCTGAGATCTCCTGTGTAATGCAACATGCACCCCATCCTGACAATGAGGCATCTGTGAAGACGTGGCAATCTGGATTGGAGGAAAAGAGAAGAAGGCTGGGCTTGACTGAGATGCAACTTGAAAAACATCCCCAGATGAACAAGATATTGAGTGGGGTGGATAACAGACTTCTCCACCTAGATAAACCAAACCACCCAATCAACTTCTCTGAGGAAGACTCTGCAAAGGATGGAGCTAGAAGGAACCAGTTGTTCATAAAAAGATGGAAACTGAGCCCATGAGAATGAAAGAATTGAGCAAATGACTGAACCACCCGACAGAAAGTATAGGGTGTCAATCTAGCCTGAAAGGAAGAGCTCCGAACAGAAAAACATGATCCTCGTGAACAAAATGTAGAAGGTGACGTGAAGCCCAAGTAATAGGGATGTGAATCTTATCATCCAAAGCCCTGGAAGAAAGGCCCATCTGAGAGATAATTAGTATTCCATTGTGAACCAAGGCATGTTAAGTAAGCGATTCAAATGGGAGAAGTCAATCACAGGACACCAATCCTCAGTCTTCTTGGGAGGACAAAAAAAAGTCAAGAAAAGAACCTTGGAAGCAGCAAAGAAACCTGTCTGATGGCACCCTTGATGAGAAGGATATGAAATGCTTCTGTGAGATGCTGGCAGGAAAAGGGATTATAAGGGGGAAGGAAATGAACAAAGGATAAAGTGGGAGGTGTGTGGAAAAGGAGGGAGAATCCTTCTGACAAAACTTACATGATCCAATGGTTGGTGGTAAAAGTCTCCCACACTTCTGAAAAATGAGTGAGCCTGGCTCCCACAGGACCTGAATCCATAGAATAGTCATCAGTAATGCTGATGTCATATAGAGCATCGGTGAACAATGATATTTTGTGTAGATGTAGCCCAGAAAGGAGGAACTGGTAAAGGAAAGGAAAGAGGAGGTTGGGACAACGAGATGTAAGGGAAGATAGGGGAGAGTGCAATCTAGCAGATTCAACATAAGAATTCAAGGTGTCTAAAAGCCCACCAGAGATCAGAGGTCTCTGAAAAGAGGCTAATCAAAGATATCACAAGGAAGTTGGGGTGGGGGGGGGTGAACATGTGTCAACAAAGCCTCCCAACCTAAAAGATCCCAGCAACATAGGAGCCAAGTGTGGAGGGAAAATGGAAAACAAAGACAATCTAGACAAATTGGTGAGTGGAAAGGTATTAGCTTCTGTCGAAAAACTCTAGGGATAACGACTAAAAGCCCTGGATTACAGGTCAGTGGATGACAAATAACAAAGAAGTATTGTTATCCATCGAAAAAGGATTTGCTGAGTGATGATATGCAAGTGAACAAGCCTCTGCAGTACATGGAAGGGGGGCATGGCATACTAACTCCCGTATGGAATTGATCAGCAAAATGTTCTGTATGGGATCAGATAACACGGGTGACAAAGACAAAACATAACATATTGTGATATAAAGTTTAAAAATGGTGACTGAAGTCTAGGTGCTTCAACAGGTTGAAAATGTGTCTGCACAACAAAGGAATAGGAGGGTGGGGCAGCTGTCCAACTCCATACTGTCCTGATCGAAGTCTTCAGGTAATAGCAGAATTGCTTGTAGACTGGGAGAGCTCTCAGCTTGCATGAAAGAAGCCATCTCCCAATGGACTACAGCCAACACTTTCTCTGATGATAATGCCACACCTGCAACCGTTGTTACAGGCTGTTAAATCGCAGTACTGTTAGTTGCCATTGTAGTTGTAATAATAAATTTTGAATTACCAGTAATTGAGTAAGAAATATAAATTACCATCAACTAAAGAAATCCAACTTGATAGTGGATTATAAAGAATACTTCTAAATGTGAAAATTAGTAAAGGAATATTCTTCAAATGCACTAAAGAAAAACAAAATATCTGAAATCAAGCACTAGGTTTTAACACTGTTGTGCCAAATCGAGAAGTGAAGATTGGGTTCAACTGCATAGAGGGAGTCAGCTGCAATAGGAGGGTGTGTTGCACAACTATTGGTTGAGGGCTGTCACATGTTAATTTGCATGTTTAAACACAGCAGAACCATGTGGTATATATGTAGAATTAGGTGGGAATTCAAGGCTAGTAGCAAGTGAAAATTTTCACACCAGAGGGCAGTCAAATCGAGAATAGCTGTAACTGTGAGAAGAGGTAAGTGATTGTATAGGAAATATTTTTATGTCATACTTAATTTAAAGAAATGTTTACTTAAATTATCTGTCAGTCATTATGGAAAAAGTTAACCACAAAATAAGTATAGTATGTAGATTTTACAAAAGCAATTATAAATTGTTCACATACAGAAGTTTTAAACTATAGCAAACCCCTACTAAAATTACTTTGCATAAAAGCCTGAAACTATAACTAAACTCTAGTTAACTTATCTTGAATTGAACCCTTTGAATGTGACCAACCTCATACAGAAGCCTAGAACTGTAATAGAACTCCTATAATTACCTTGTATAGAAACCTTGAACTGTGATAAAATACATCCAGAGTAATTTGTATTTACTGTAAAGATACTATGACTATCTATCATCATCCCTAATTTTGAACTACTGACCAAAGAGAAGGCAGTTAGTCAGTAGCAGTCTACTACCCATCATCCATACTAACAAACTGATGGTCCCTCTAATAATGAACCTATAGTTTAAAGTGTTGAGAATATTTCGTGGTATAACACAGACATTTTCCCAGGTTTCCAGCTTCGAAATCCAATCACAGGGCTAAATCACACCCTAAAACTAAAGGTTTCTCATAAAGAAGCTTTACGTAGTAACAGAAGTCTACTACACTGCCATGCACGAAACTTTTGAACTATAACAGGACTATTCTACAATTACTTTGTATATAAGCTGTGAACAGTGAAAAAAGTAAAAGAACTATCTCTTATAGAAATTTTAATACAATTACTTCATATAGAACCTTTGAATTGTGGCAAACTTTATTCAAATTACTTATTACGTAAGCTTTCGTCTTAGACAAAGCTCTCTTAAACTTACCTTGTGTTATCTTTCAACTGTGAAAAGTATCATTTAAAAGTACCTTGTACTAAATTCAATTGTGACAAGACTATGCTAAAATTACCTTGTACTGGATTGACCTATGACACAATTTCAATACAATTACCCTGTATAGAAGCTTTTAACTGGTATGCAGTGGTCACCAGCATAGCTGAGGAAGTGGTAAACTCAGTTGAATTTTCATCCAGAAAACATTGTACAGTAAATTGGACTTTCTGATTCTCTGCAAAAATTAATATTTTTAATGTTTACACTACATAGTTCTTCTAACAGAAATTAGATGAATAAAATCAAGCTTTATAATATCATCTTTGTGTTTAATAGTCAGCACACTTTGTGTCAGTTGTACTCAAATGCAACTATTTCCAATTATGTTTACTAATATCAAATTTAATTTTCTTTTACTATAATACCATGGGAAAGAAAACCAAAAGATCAAAATGTGTTCAAAACAAAGAAACATGAGCATTTTATTTAAGATGGAAAACAAATACAAAACAATGAATATAGATTGTTAAAGTCTAATTAATTATACATTTTGAAGTAATGTTACATAAGTAATAACTGTTCAAAAAAGGGTCTTCATTAGTTATAATTGTTTACTAAAATTAATTCCCTTAGACTTTAAACTAAACACAATACATTACCCTAAGTAGTTTATATTACATATAATCTCACAATGAAATCGTCAACTCCTAATAACAGGAAACAAATATGTCACAAATGTAACTATGAATTTTCACCGTATGACAACTTATATTTAATAAACCAGTATGTGCCATCATTGAACTTATTACTCCTTTTTTGATTACACTTAATTATCTATACAATTTAATTAATTTATTTTCCCATTCTATATTTAGTCTTTCTTAGACAAATATTATCAAGTTGGCATAATGATCAGTATACATCACAACAAAATTCAAAATTACAAGACAAAAAAAAAGGATTAGTGTTATTAATAAAGAAATTATTTCAGAAATAATGTTTTTGTAGAAGTTATTAAAACACTAAATATAGCAAGATACAGCAATTGAAGGGACATTAAAATAAAATAACTAATTTTGTGTCACCATATTTATGATCAGAATATTCTAAATATCACTAAAATGTTTTATTTAGATTATTTATTTATTAGAATCTCCACATAAGAAGAAAACAACGTATTTTAACCACAAGACAAAAAAACATTTTATTCAAGTTTGCACAAGCATTACAATAAACTCTTAGCATCAAACTGTACAGTTTATGTTATATTAAAAATGTACAAATGAATGACAACAGATATTCTCATTCATGCTCATATTTAAATTTATTAATGATGGATAGAACACTTGATTCAATGAAATAATTCACTTTTTTTAAAAAATTGTATTTTTAATTTTCATACAAACCTTATTTTGCATTACTAATATTCAAAGTTCAGTAGTTTAAAATTTGCAAATTAACAATTCTCATGCAAAATATCACATGATGACAGATCAGACTGCAAGGTATAGTTAAAAAGGTGCTGCTCAGTGTTTGTGTAAAGAAAAGGAATAATTACCTGCACTCTATCTCAGTATCTTAATTTTAAATTATAGCAAGTTTTTTATTCTTTTAATCTTGGAGGATTCTTTTGCATTTTAAAGTAAACTAATAATAACTTAACACTCAAAACTGAAACAATAGTGATAGCAAGGTAAATTTTAGCACTTACAGAAATATGTTTTTTTTTGTTTAGATAACTGGCTATACTGATGGTGTAATTGCAACTGCTGTATTTTACTGAAAGCTACTATTCTCACATCAGTAGTTTGGCATAGCTTAAAAAAGATTAAAGTCTAATAGGACATCATAATTTGCAGAAAAAGATCTAAAAAGTTGGTTCAAAATGTAAAAGACGTACAAGTAAGGAATCATAAATAGTATAAACTTATAAATATTGATTTTGAATTTTAAAACAAAAATGTAAAACAAGCAAGTACCTTAACTTATGGAGAAGCTGTTCACTTTTAGTAAAGAAATAAATTTTAAAAATGTTTACAAATTAATAAATCAAACAAAAACTTTCTCACTTGTGAATAATTTCTTACAACACATAAAAAACAAACAAAATATATAAAGGTTAAAATATTAAAAATAAATCTTACCTGGTAGAGTATAGGGAGTAACTCGATAAACCGAAGAATGAAGACTTCTAAAATCAAACTTTACTTTGGGGTTGTCCACAGTCCATTTAAAACGTATCTGTCTTGATCTTTCAATACAGTCAGGTAAACTTGCTTCAGCAGTCAGAAGCACCCTAATTATAGTCAGAAGGTTGGAATCGGTCAAGCAGTTATTATGTTTATATCTTTTGCTATCTAACAGTATTTAAAATATTGATATCTGTATATAGCTATAGAGTATCATTCCTAATTAGCATGCCATATTAGTGATTTTATATCTGCAAGTATTTCTATAATTTTAGAAACAAAAAGCTACATAACAACTATACAAAGAGCATGTATGAAGGATAAAGAATTGAGATAGAGAACATACAACATATACAATATGAATGGTAATAACAAGCACTGACAAAGTGAGCTTCACAATACATGACATGCCTACTTTCTCCTGCTGGATGATTTTTTTTAAACATTTTGTTTCTCTGCATGATATATATAAACACTTTAGTTAATTGAACTGCCAGTAAATAATGACTGAAACTTTTATGTCAAAGTTAATTTTTCTAAATCATAAACAAATTATTCCTGCTAACAAACAGATGATATTTATGTGAAGGCTGAAAAGTACAGTTTTTTTTAACAAGTATTGGGCAGAATTTCTATATAGTTTAAGTATTAACACTGAAGTTAAAGCTTCTGAGCTATTAAAACTTCAATAAGAAAAGTAAAACCTACTCTTCACTGACACTCAATTGGCTTACTGAAAACAAGGAACTTGGATACACAGTCACTAGGGGGGCAGAAAAAGGACGTTTAGTGACCAAGTGTTGAGCGTGAAGAGGATTACTTTCTTCTCCTGGTGGAATGATGGAAACAATAAATTCATATATGACATCAGTTTCCAGCGAAGAAGATTCCATTATCAGGTGAGGGGAAGTCTGACCTTTCAGGTGGACAGAAGGATAAAGTGAAAAAAAGAGAGAGTATTGAAAAGTGAATATTTCAGTTTGATACATAATTACTTACTTTTAAATATAAAACTTACATAGAAATACACATCATTGTTATTATCATGTTCAGGCCTCTCACCAGATTCTAAGAAAAATAGAACTAAGCATGGAGAATCTAATTGAAAATCTATTCCTCATTTTGAACAGATGTAAGATGGAAACAAGACCGAACAAAATTATCACATCAATTCTGAGATTCTTAAGAAAAAAACTGTGAAGTTTGAAGAATGATAAGGCTCATGAGCCAGATACTATTTCCCCAAAGGTTTTGAAGGAGGTGAAGGATTGGACATAAGAGCCATTTGCTACTACTTTTTTGTTAGTCCTTGAACAGTGGGCAGGTTCCAGATTTCAAGTTGGTTAAAGTTACTCCTCTTTTCAAGAGAGGTGATAAAAATTGTTCCAGTAATTATAGGCCTATTAGTTTTACATAAATGGAGGAAAATTTGTGAAAATGTTGTAAAAAGATGCATGGTAAGCCCATTTAACAGTTTAAAATTCTGTTGGATAGTCAACACATATTCACTAGGGAAAAATAAATTTACCTTACTAATCTTTGGACATTCATTGAAAAGGTAACTGCTTATGTTGATGAATGTGAGAGCATGAATTTGATTTATCTAGATTTTCAGAAAGTATTTCACAAGTTGCCACACAAAAGGCTTGTTAAAATAAAAATTATCTATAAAAGTGTAGGGCATAAGTTTGTTCACTGGATTGAAATGTAACTGGATGGAAGAAAGGAGAAAGTTGTTATAAATGGAGTTCAACCAAATTGAATTATGTCACAAGTGTGGTACCTCAGGGCTCAGTGTCAGGACCTTCGCTCTTTTTTGATTTATATTAATGACATAGATGAAGAAACGGTCAATAAAGTACTTACATTTTTCTGACAACATTAAGATTACTGGTTGTAAGGAGGATGTTGCTACCTTACAAACGAATTTGAATTATTTAGTGAACTGGGCAAATAAACAATAGATGGCTTTTAATTATAATAAATGGTTATGCATGGTTATGCATTATCATAAGTTGAATTATAAGTATATTTCTGATGGGAATAACTTTAATAGCGTTATGAAAGAAAGTTAAAATTTTTCTAAACTGAAAATGTATTTCTGATAGATACCTTCTCTCACAAATAGCTTTCTCAACTTATACTGCCCTCTATAGGTGCAAATTTTTGCTTGCCACTCATCTTGATACTCCCATCTACTCTCACGCATATTCACATGAGACATCTGCATGATATCATGCAGCAACCCTTCAACAATATGAGTGCGACACAACTCCTATAATTACTAATGCTCTCTCTTCCATACAGACCTTAATCACTTCGAGACTGGGCAATACATACAAAACCTACAATGTAAGTGGAGAGATCGAGTGGGAAATGTGAGAAGAGGTAAGTATCTATTGGAAATACATTTTCAGTTTAGGAAAATGTTAAATTCCAATACGATATCTTACCACCACTCGCAAATAGCAAGAATCCCACACTGGCAGAACACCACTGCCCTACTCTCAACCAGTGGGAGTAGGCACATACAGGAGAAGGTTTCCACCGTCCACCATCCCAGTGACTAGTGACTGGTAAGTGGCAAAAACTCCCATACTCCACTAGAAAAAGGGTGAAACAGCATGGCAGAGACTCCAAAGAAAAGCTGCACCAAAGACAATACAATGGGTAACTGCTATAACTTATTTTGAAAAGCCGACAAAAACATGGCTCATCAGGAATGGGCAGCAATCCCCATCTCCTTCACTCATGTTAGTCCATGAGTGTATGGTCTGGGGCAAACATCTTTATGAAGTAAAATACTGTGAGGCATACCTACAAGCAGATTTGATAAACACTCCATCTCAACAGTGGACTTACTTGACACACAGATCTTATTGTGTGGATTTAAGAATAAGTATACCTTGTCTGGCAACATTCGCCACAAAATGAGATCCTAAGTGAAAAAAGGCCCCTGCAAAATGAAGAAAAAAGAGCACTTACCTACTCAAAG